TTAGACCACTGAGCCATCTCACCAGACCCTAGTTATTTTCTTAAGGACTGTTTGAATATTGGTTTAAGTATGGAAAAAATTAAGTATGGAAAGGAGGCTTGAACCCTTTTCTAGTGTAAAATTTAAAATCCATACATGTAGTTTTTATGTAAGGTAAGATGTGCTTCTTTAAAAGTGACCTGCCATTTAAACAGCACTGCAGTGCACTAGTGGAGAAGGAGCCCAGCTCTGCGGGGCTGAGGGCAAAGCCCTGAAAGGATGGAGAGCTAAACTCAAGGATATGTCTGGGAAGTAGCCTAGGAGTAGAAAAGGCTGAGCTTGAGGGAGAGCGGGGCAGTTCGGGAAGGAGAGAGCATTTCCCCCATGCCGTTGGAGCAGATGGCTGAAGGTCTGCTTAAGGTGAGGGGCAGGGAACAGCGGCTGCAGTGGCCTTGATGGCCAGCTCCTGAAAAGCCCTCGAAGCAAGACTGTGCCTGCGGAGAGAGTGCCCTGAGACTTCTCACCAGGGTGACTCGGTGCAAGTTAGAACCCGGCACTCTGCTGTAGCCGAGCAGGGGTGGGGAGCCGCACACATTGTCAACCTTTTGCTAACTCTAAGGCATTTTGCTAGGTACTGTGGAGCTAGCAAGGGTGGATAACACTCAGACCTTCCTTCAGAGCATTAATACTCTGGGTAAAGGAGTGGGCGAGAGAGATGGTTCAGTAGGATAAGCACTTCCCTGGCAAGTGCAAGGGCCTGAGTTCAATCCTTGGTTCTTAAAAAAAAAAAAAAAAAGGGTAAAGGAGTAATTAAGGTAGGGAGATAGGCAAAAATATAAGACAACGCCCTCCTACTTTTTTGAGATGGGGTCTCTATATAATGCAGACTGACCTTGAACTCACTATGTAGCCCAGTGTGGCCTCAAATCCTCCTGCCTCAGCCTCCTGAGTGCTGGGATCACAGGCCCAAGCCAACAGGCCCCACTAACATCCTCTTCCTAACAGATAATTTGGAAGTAAAAATCACATATTTGAGTACATTCAAAAGGCTAATATAGGGGCCAGGGAGATGGCTCAGTAGAATAAGTGCTTGCCTGGCAAGTGCAAGTGCCTGAGTTCAATCCCCATTTCTGGGGGGGAAAAAAAAAGCTAATGCAAAAGAAGCCTAATCATACTTAAGCTTTTCTTTCCAAATTCTATGTTATGGGCTGTGTAGCCTTCTTATTTTGATTATGATGCAGCCGCTAAAATGCTTTGAAAGTAGAATGTTAGCCCCTGGAGGACAGAAATAATTTACTGCATCCAGGACAGCCCTGAATGTTCAGTGATGTTGCTAAACCTACGTACAAAAGTCAAACAGGACTGAGCACATAGCTCAGCAATAGAGCGCTCCCCTAGCATGCATGAGGCGCTGCATTCAGGCTCCAGTACCCAAGAAGAAAAAGCAAAGGTCCAACAACAGGCAGACATGTTCCAGGAGAACTTCTGTCTTCCAGTGAGGTGATTTTGAAATTTGTAATTCCTTCACCTTTAGACACAGTCCTCTGAGGCATATTTTCAGTGTGCCGCGTGATCTTTATTTTGATGCTCCTTTCATATCTGGATGTAACGTCCCCGAGCATCTGGCTGAGGCTAAAAAATCATGGCTTCCAACATTCTCCTCAGCTGACCGCTGCATCTTTATGATCACTGCCCTTTCCCTCACCAGCACTCTTCTCCATTTCCTGGAAGGACAGAATACAGTCAGACTGTCAGATCTTTCAAACAGACGTGGCCATCCCAACAAAGAAATGCCCAAGTTTAACTAAGATAATTTCAGAAGCCCAACATCTTTATCTGCACAGCAGTTTAGGGGTACAGCGAGTTCTGGGTTGAAGTCTTATCTGACTGAAGCCAAGGAAGTTCTGTAGAAGCTTTGGCTTCATGCCTGGTGGCTGCTCACCGAGTTACAGACAGACCTCACCATGAGAGAAAGTAAATGGCCTCTGAGTTGCGCTAAGCTTGTGAACTAGACCTGTAAATTGGCAGGAGCCAGATGTTGCCCTCGCAGCCTCGTGACTTAATCTCCTTAAGAAGCTTTCTCTGAGCGAGGCTGAGACTTCTCAGAATGCACTAAATCTGTGTTTGTGACCCTGACAGAGTTCTTCCTGCCAGGGTCTAGAGGGTGTGCTCCTGTCAGTCTCCGTGCTGCTTTAATCCCTCTGGTGCTGGACTCCGGGTCTCCTTCTTCCACTCTTCTCTCCTATGATGCAGAGCCCATGCTGGGGCACTAACCTGCAGTGTCTCTGTGCTTCTCTTACCTCCTCTTTCCCCTTCTCTTTCCCTTTTGCTGTGGTGTGTCCAGAAAAGGAAGTCAAGCTCCAGCGTGCACCTAATGGTGAGCCTTGCCTGCCCACCCATCCGCCCACTCCATGCTGCCTGCGCCCGCCTGCAGCCACGCAGACTCATTCTGCCATGTGCGTGTGCTTCACTCATCCTCACTGCATGTCTGTGCCATGTGGGCAGGTGTGGCCTGTCCTGCCAGGCGGGGGCCATTGCCCAAGGTCACCCAGTGGCCTCACACATGGACTTCAGAAGGTGTGGAACAGCACCCCCGCTCTGGAGGTTTAATGGCTCCCCACAGCCCAGGGCAGGGAGTGAAGCTGGCAGGGACTCAGGGCCAGGTGGCAAGCTTAGGGAGACCCTCACACACTGTCACTCAGGAAGAGAGGCCTTGCTCCCTCGATGTATGCAGCTGCTCCACACAGACCCATATGTGTAGGCAGCTGTGTGGTGGACAGAGGAGTGGAGTCTGGTAGACTCCAGCTCTGAGCCTTGCTCATCTGGCTTTTTCCCTGGGCAAGCAGCACTCTCAGGCTGGGCCCAGTGTTATCCTGCACACCGAGCCCTCAGGAACAGCTGACAGACTGTAGTACACAAGTCTTTCTCACCGGACACAAGGCACCAAGGGGAACGCAGCAATCTGAATCATTGTGAAACTGTCCATTACAATCAAAGGTGGTATCAGCCTGAGCCTCTGCAGGCTTTATAAGCATCCTAGAGTCCTTGTCCCTTGCAATGGTCTTGCTCTCAGCTGAGCTTTGTGGTCAGGGCCACCTTTATCCATCAGCCCCAAACAGGAGGGGAAGCATCACCTACTGAGCTAGGAGGGCTCTGCTTTCTTGGTGGGAATGAAAGAAACAGCTGACCTGGATCTGGGCCCACGTGCTGGCTCCTCCAGGGGCGCTCTCCAGCCTGCAGAGTTTGTCGGAGTCTTGCATTACATAGTGCCTGGCTCAAGGTTCCAGGCTAGCCCTGTTTAGGGGTGGATAGCGTTAGGTCTGGTCTGGGAGGCCTCCAGGCAAGATATAGAGCAGTTTGGATGCCTTCTCTGTGTGTCCTAGCAGAGAAGTAGCACGTTCTGGCTGTCAACATGTCCTCATTGTGCCCTGCAGAGGCATCAGTCACATATTAGCCTCTCTGCCTGTTGAAGAACTTGCAGGCATCAGGCTGCTCAGTGGCCGAGACTCCCCTGGGACACCCAGTGAGACTAAGTCCTCTGCTTAGGGAATCGTGAGAAGCAGAGAGCATCGATAATGGCTCGCTGCCCTGAAGATTGGCCTCCTTTCTTCCTCTCCAGCCTCCCCATTTCCCTGCCTGGCTCTGCCATTCTGTGATGTTTTACGAGGCAAGATGTCCCTGGTGGGGGAGCTGCCATTAGGAATATTGGCCAGCCTGCCGGGCAGCCACAGCCCCTGTCAAGACTTAGCGCCCTCTGTGGTGCTCTGCCCTCACCTGCCCTAATCAAGTCCAAGATTGTTGGGCAGAAAGTGGTCAGCATAGCCCTGGGGCTCATGGATGTGTTTTGTACCCAGAGTTGAATGTCCTTCCTTTCCCCTCCGACACCATCTCCTATGTCAGGTATTCTCGCTCTTTTTCCTCTTCTGTTTAGGTCAGGCTTCAAGCCAGTATTTTGTGGGAAGGAAGGAAATGTCATTGCCAGGTAGATGGACAGCTGGAGATTGCCCACGGATACAGGAGCCAGAGTTCCTGAATTTTGTTGTTTCTTTATAAATCCTTGTCTTTTTCAAACCTGTAAAGTGGGAAAATCATGAGTTTCTTTGGTCAGGTATGACTGTGCAATGATACGGCACCAGGTGTAGCAGAGAGTTCTGGAGAGATACTTTAAAACAAGTCTTTTGTCTGGTCCCGCGTTGAGGATGCCTCCAGGGCCAGGTTTCTGAGGCCCTTCCAAACACACCCTTACTCTGGTCATCTCTCCAGCCCTGAAACCACTGGGCCAGGCCAGGGGACAAGGGAGGTCTGGGAGTCAAACCTGAGTGGCTTTGGTGACAGGAAGAACTAAACCATCTGTTTTCTTGTCTCAGCCACAGAGCAACAACAAAAACAGTCTCGTAAGCCCAGCCCAAGAGCCCGCGCCCTTGCAGACCGCCATGGTACCTCCTGACTACAGCTTCTCTGTCTCTGCCCCTGGCTGCCCCCACCCCCCGACTCCTTCCCTCTTCTTGCCTTCCCCTGTAAGACTCCTTAGCTTCTTGCCTTTTCTGACTCCTGTAGAGTAGGCTGCCCTGTGTGCTGCCCTATAGGTCCTTGCCCTTCATTGTTCCGCTTGACCATGCTCTGTCCTGCATGGAAGAACTGCCCATTGTTCTGCTCCTTTTGCCATTGTGGGGGAAGAGTGGTCAGGGCTCTCATCCAACCCCCTCAGCCCCAGCAGGGCCCCCCAGTGGGTCTGCTTGGGGGCTAGGAAGATGAGTTGCTTGTTAAAGGAGAGGTTGGCTCTTTCTTGGGACCTGTTCCTCAGTTCCTGGAGGCCTTAAAATGTGCCTCAGCCTCTTCTTTGCAATTGCAAGGATAGAAAGAGGGTTGGGGTCCCCCATGTCTGGATGGTGCCAAGGTCTCTGGGATTCTAGAGAGCCCTATCTGAATTCTCTCGAGGTTTTTCCAAGGGGCAATGTTCTGGGAGCTGCTTCTGCTAATTAGAGCAAGGCTAACTAGCGAGTTAGCAGAGGAGTAACTGGGAGAGAGGAAAGGGTGATTTGCCTGCCACATCCTTTACTTCCTACAGAAACTTAAGGACCAACTAGGGAAGGCAGAAGGCAGGCAGAGTGGGCAGCTCCCCGGGTTCAGCTTGCTGAGGGGACACCCTGAGTCTTTCTGGGAGACCTTATCATTCTGCCCTCCCTATGTCCCTGCCTCCTGTGTACTCCTGATGACCACTGTTGTCAGGACCCTGCCCCTGCCCTGAGTCCACGGCTTCTCCATGTTCTCGCCTCATGGAGCCTTGGCCCACAGAGAACCCTCAGAACCAGTAGGAAGCAGGGACAGAGGCTCCCAGCTTCCCAGGCACCTGCTTTCACTAGGCCGCTGCTTCTTAGCACTCATTGATAACGCCTAAGTCCAGGCGCCCCAGTTCCCGAGACCCCACTTGGGCCAGGGTTATTTATCTCGAGAGGATGGCTGGTGGCCTGGGCTCAGGGCTCGTCATAGGTTTCCTAGTGGGTTTTGGGTGATGGTGGGCTCCATCAGGGAAGAGCTGTGGGTCTGTCCCCAAGTCAGAAGGGTTATTTTTGTCTTCTCTCACAGGAGCCACAAACCACCGTGGTGCACAATGCTACAGATGGGATCAAGGTGAGTAAGAGACTCCTGAGCCCAGCTCCTGCTCTCTGGAGCAGCAGGAGCCAGCTAGGCTTGGTCTGAGTACTACAGATGGGCACCTTCAGGCCACATCCTGAGGCTGGGTGTTTGCTGAAGCTAGACTCTCTTTTCTGTCCTTGAATCCCTGGACAGATCACTTAACCACTCTGCACCTCTCTTTTCCTGTCTATAAATTGGGGAAAATAATGGAATTCAGCTGAATGTGGTGGTGCACACCTTTAATCCCAGCACTCAGGAGGCTGAGGCAGGAGAATCGCGCCCTTGCAGAGTTTGAGGCCAGCTTGGGCTACAAAATGAGCTCAAGGCCTTCCTGAGCTGCAGAGTGAAACCCTTTGTTGGGGGGGTGGGGGGAGAAAGAATGGAATCTTCTGCCATGAGTTGTGAAGTTTAGTGAGAATAGATGTTAGCTGAAGAACACAGAGGCAAGGTGTAATCAGAACTGCACTGTGGACACCCCCCATGCCACGTTTTCACTAACAATAAATATGTAATCAGCCCACCAAGAATCATCCACAGCTTTGGTTTTCATAGATGACGTTACAGATGGGGGGTAATAAATCAATAATCAGGATAAAATCCAGTAGTGAGAAGTGCTCTGAAGGTGGCGGCCCACAGTAGAGGCAGTGAATGGGGCCTTCAGCGAGCCTTGTCTCAGGAGGGGACACTGGTTCAGCAGCTCAGTGGCAGCAGGAAGGAGGCAGTAGGCAGGCTGTGAGTCCTGGTGTTTCAGCAGACTGCAAGTGCCAAGGCGCGGCCTGTGTGAGGGCTGCAGAGCGGGGCACAGCGGATGTGATGAGCAAAGGCCCAAGCCCCAGGCGGGCGGTGTTGGTGGGAAGCTGGCAAGGCTGGAGCAGTGTTTGCACTTTGTTCTAGCAGCCAGAAGCTATTAGCAGTTTTTAGCAGGGGAGTCACATAAATACTCTGAAAGGTGCATGTGGTGACTTTTGGAGCAAAAACTTGAGGGAGAAGGCAAGAGAAGCAGCAGGGAGAACGGAAGCTGCTGTAGTGGGTCAGGTACCAGGTATTGGCTGTTTGAGCCCTAACTTTAAGTGTGCAGTTGAGAGAAGAAAGGAGATGTGGCTTTCATTATAGAGCTAGAATCAAAAGTTGTTTTTTTTTTTTTTCTCGGAACCTGGGATTGAACTCAGGCCCTTGCACTTATTCTACTGAGCTATCTCCCCGGCCCTTAGAACCAAAAGATTTTACTTTAGATGGATTGATTGGACATAAGAGAAAGAGAAGAATCGGGGATGATTGCAGATTTTCATCAGTTGAGTGGTTGGGTAGATGGGCTAATGTACTGAGTTGGGGAAGAGTGGGGCAGGCATTTGGGATCCCAGAGTTTTGTGAGTTGGAAAGTAAGGCTGAAAGTAGAAACTTCTGCTTTGTTGTGGCACTTCCTGTAGTAGCTCATGCTCTGCTTTTGTTCTGCGTGCTCCTTTGAGCTTTCAAGCTTTGGGTTTATAGAAACACGTTCTTTTTGGCCCATAGGGCTCTACAGAGAGCTGCAACACTACTACAGAAGATGAGGACCTCAAAGGTAGGTGCTGGTCCTTGGGAAAGGACCCCCGCTATGACCCCAGGGCCTTGGCTGTGACGGGGCTCCTGCCTTGTCTGTCTTGAGACTGGGGTTGGTGGGTGCTTATTGGCAGACGAGGGTTTTTGTGTGAAAACAACTTTGCATGGGCCAGGGTGTAAGTCCCTGCTGGCGTTGCTGGGCTGGGTGAAAGTCTTTGCTTCTTTGACCTAAGTCTAGATCAGCTAAATTAGCTCTTCCTGGGCCCAGGCTCAGCTCCTGTTGCTAATGATGTGATGCCCAACAACAGGGACATCTCAGGTCCCTGCAGGATTTTGGTGTCCAGTAGGGCATCCTGGTTTTCCTAAGGTGATTCCCAGAATATGAAACTATCAGGGCTTTTTGTTTTGTTTTTTAATTTGGTGAGTAGGGTGGGGGTCGGAACAGGAACCGAACTTAGGACCTTGTGCTTGCCAGGCAAGCGCTGTGCCACTGACATATCTACCTTATCCCAAAACTATCACTTTTTTTTTAATACAGGGCTTTGGGGCTGGGGAGATGGCTCAGGGGAATAAGCGCTTCCCTGGCAAGCGCAAGGGCCTGAGTTCAGTCCCCGGTTCCGCCAAAAGAGTAAATAAATAAATACAGGGCCTCACTATGTAACTCAGACTTGTAGTGATCTTCCTGTCTGAGCCTCCCCAGCATTGGGATTACAGGCGTGCACCAACATGCCTGGTTTTAGTGGCCAGCATGGCGCACCGGGGTTATGAGGCTGGCACAACATGTGGTACTGGGATTCAAACCCAGGTCCTTGTGCTTGCCAGGCAGGCACTTAGACTGCTGAGCTATCTCCCTAGCCCAAACTGTAGGTTTTTAAACCAGGATAAAGACTGAGGATATGGGGGGTCTGCCCATTAGCTCAGGTGTTTAAGTGCCTGCTGAAACAAAGCAGTCAGGTTCAGAATGCTGTGGTTTGATCCCTTCATCCTCCAGCCAAACCAGACCTGCCCTGAAGGCATCCTGAGCAGCCAAAAAAAAAAAAAAAAAAAAAAGACTGAGGATATGTAGCTCAGTGGTTGAGCACTTGGTAGTACATTCAATCCTCAGCACTGCCAAAAGTGAAAAGGAAGAAACAATAAAGGAAGAGAGGAAGGATAAGGAAAGAAGAAAAAGGAAAAAAGACCAAGGCAGTCTTGGGCCCTGTGGGATGAGTCGGGTGCTCTAGTCCTGAGATTTGGCCATGGATGGTGGAGTCGGAACTGATCTGATGTCTGAGAGGCCATACTTGGCCGTGTCTTGGTGGGCCATGAGGCCCAGCATACGGGGCTTGGGGCTGCCCAGAGTGTCCTGTGGTGTGGGGAGCGTGGCGGGCCCGACTAGCGGGATTTTCTGACCTCCTCTTTGAGTCAGCCTCCTTCAGTAAGTTACCTTGAGGTGGGCAGCACAGAAAACAGAGGGTGTGAGATCCAGAGGTAAGAGAACAAGTCCATGGGCAGCGAGAGGCGCTGAGCCTTTGGGAACCAAAAACAAAACAGCAACAACTTTAAAAATCAAAAGCAGAAACATAGGCAGTAATAAGGAATACTGTCACCTGGGTTGCTGGGAGCCAGGTCAGGTCACTTCAGTTGTGGGCTGCTGGTGGAGTAGAAGGCACCCTCTCAGGCTTGTGGCCCTTGAGCGTCTTCCTTGGGAACGGGGTCCCTGTACAGCTGTTGAAGGCTTCCCTGGAAGCCGCAAGCCCGGGTCTGTCTGCACCTTCCTGGTGCTTCTGACTGGGAGGCCTCTGGCAGAGGCAGCGGCGTGGGGTGTGGTCCGGCACCCACGGCAGCCTGAACATCACTTGGCCCTGGCTCTGCAGCGCCCCGGGCTCGGGTCCTATCCAGCTTGCTCGCTCACCTGCCTTGTTCTGTTTGTTTTGGCTGCTCTGCCTTGCCCTGCCCTGCCCTGGCTGGCTAGCTGCCCCGCTCCGCACTGGGAATGGCAGCTCGGTGCCTGAAGGACGGAGCTCCTGGGACAGAACAGCCCCCTCTGCAGGCATGCAGCCCCAGCCTTCTCTCTGCTCCTCAGCCAGTAAGTGTGAGGGAGGCACATTCTGGCTTCCAACTCCCTGGCTTGTCCTGAACCCCCCAGGGATTCCCCAGAGCTGTTGGCCCAACCCACCTGCCCATCTTAGTCGGCTGGAGACCTGTTCATACCAGACAGGGCCCCTGAAGCTGGGGCCATGGAAGTACCTTTACATGGGTGGAAGGCCATGGCGTGGAGGGAGGAGTAGAAAACCACTGGGGTGCATAGTGGGCCTGGCCGCAGTGGCAGCCAGGTCTGTGGGAATAGTGGTGAAATTGCAGTAACCAAGGAATTATGCAGGGGTAGGTTATCCTGAGGCTCATCCTCGTGTCATATTCCAGGGTGAGACCAGCCTGAGATGCGATCCAAGCCACGCTACCTTCAGAAGTGTGGGAAGTAGCTTAGCTTCCCCAAGCTCCTCTGGTGTGGGGAGAGGTTAGGGAGGCATGTGCCTCCAGTGTTGTGAAAAGTTAAGTGCTAGAGAAGGTCTTGACATGATGCCTTATGGGGTGAAGGTTCTGTTGGTGGTGGAGGAGCCCTTTTGGCTTCCCTTCCTCCCACATCCACTGGTGAAGTTTCTGAACATAAACCTTTCACCCACAGGCCCTGGGCAGGTTCTCTAGAGGGGCTGGGCAGGGTCAGAGCAAGACTGTTGTGTGGACATACTTGCTTGCTTCTTTGGAAGAGGAGAGTTCCCTTGTTCCTCTAACTAGCTGCTTAGAGCTACCCATCAGTGGGGGGCACCTTTGGTTGTGCTGCCCCCTGCCAGCTGGGCCCCTGGGCTATGCTGGGCCAGTGGTGCCATGCTGGTGCTGCTCAGATGCTTGCCTTTGTCTTGCAGCCTCTTGCTTCTGTGAAGAAAGGCTTGTGGCCTAGGCCAGCAGGGGGTCAAGGCTAGCCCGAGCTTGGTGCAAGTCCTCCCTTACCTTAGTGACACCCCTGCTAATAGTGGCATTCCCTGTATGTGAGCTGCCCATGAGAGCAGGATGCCACCAGCTGTCCCTTGGCATGGGAGGCTCTGAGGGCACTGACTGCTTGTCAGTCTGAGCTTTGTGTTGGTTTCCCTGAGGGACACATGCTGGCAGGAGAGCTGGGGTGAGAGTTATAGCTTTTCCAAGGCTTGTCCAGGGTAAATGGAGCCTCTGGCAAGAGGCTCTCAAGAATTTTTACAGTTCCAAGATCACTTATCCCAGCAAAGCCTTTCGGGGAGATGAGGAGGTGAGGCTAATTCAGAGTCCATGCTAGGGCTCTGTTCATTCTTTGGGAGCCCTCATCCCTAACTAGCTTCTGCTGTCAGGGTGGCTGTTGCCCAAGGCTAGGTTCTGGGCTCTGAATGAGGGCTCCGAATGAGGGTAGCAATTGAGATCTGACTGAGCCCCTTCTGGTGGTTGGGGTGGGTATAAACTGCTGGGGTGGGAGATGCTTCTCAGAGAGAGTGAACTGCTGGCGTTGAGTCACACAGACTGGTAGTGAGTTCATGATTTTCCAGGCTCCTTGGCTGTTGAAGAGAAGTGTTTTCTGTGACCTGGTTGTTGTTGGAGAGAGAGGTGAGAGGCCAGAGAACTCTTAACTAGTGGGTGTGCTCACAGAGGGTACAGAGGCCTTAAAGACAGTGAGAGGGATGTCTCTGACAAAGGGATGACAGGGGACACCCTAAGGGGTCAGACTGGGCTCTCTGTCATGGGAGAGGTTGCCCAGTGGGTAAATTGGTGAATTTTTTTCTCCTACAGTGCGAAAACAGGAAATCATTAAAATCACAGAGCAGCTGATTGAAGCCATCAACAATGGGGACTTTGAAGCTTACACGTGAGTTAAGACCCATTTTCTTGAGGCATAGGTCACCCCTCAAGGCCTTCTCTGCTCCCAAAAAGCAGCAGGTACCACAGGAACAGGGTGGGCTGGGCTTGGGTAGTATCCAGGTTAAACCCAAAGCCCCTCTGCCAGGAGCCCTTTCAGGTAGGTGGCCCATAACTGAACCAGAAGCATGGCCCATAGCTAAGCCGCTGCTGCAGGCCAGCTCCACTGCCAAGGAAGGTGTGTAATTCCCCTATCTGACAACCTGCTTTGAGCTTGTCTTTTTCTTTCCCTTTTTTTTTTTTCTTTCCTGTAGGAAGATTTGTGACCCAGGCCTTACTTCATTTGAACCAGAGGCCCTTGGTAACCTCGTGGAAGGGATGGATTTCCATAAGTTTTACTTTGAGAATCGTGAGTGGGTTCGTGCTGCTGATATACTCCTGCCTGCCCCTTCACCTCTTTGCCTCTGCCTCATCCCCCTTCCCCTCGCCCCCATTGCCCTGGTCTTCCCTTGACCTTCCTAGCATCCTCCTCTGTATGCCTCCCTCTCCCTGCCCTGCTGCCCCTTCTGAGGGGAGAGCCCCAAACACCCTTTCATCCAGCAGCTGCCTCAGGGCAGGGCTGGTTACCACAGTCAGGGTCATTGTATTTCTTTAAGCCTCATCTTTTTTTGGGTCAGATTGCAAAATCCCTGAGATTAGGTTGAGAGGATCTCAGCAAGTAATCTATGTCTGCAGGTTTCATAATAGAGGAAATTAAAACCAGAGTAAGAATGTGCAAGCAAGTATCAGAGAACTGGTGATTTGTGCTGCTGGAAGTTGTGAAGGGAGGCAAGCACACCCTGGTGGTTTTTTGTTGTTGTTGTTGTTTTTGTGGGGGATGCTCTGCTTAAAGACCCAGGGGTGTACACCTGTGATCCCCGCACTCAGCAGGCTGAGGCAGGAGGGTTGTTGCAAGTTCAAGACCAGCCTGGGCTACAAAGTGAGCTCAATGTCAGCCGTAGTGGCGTAGTGAGACCCTGTCTCAAAAAGATCACAAGACCCAGAGGGTAAATAGTTGAGTCTTCACCTGCCTTCATTGCCTTTCCACTCATTGAGACTCCACCCCTCTTCTTATTCCTCTTCTTGTCTACCTTAGCCTGGGTCTTTTCCCATTCTACCCTGTTTTATTGCTCCACATTTCTGCTGTGTTTAACCCTTTAAGTAATTATTTTCACCAAAAGCAACTCCAGATTTTATATTAGTTCTAAGGAAGGTCTCTTGCAGCTCCTATGTAAAAATGGAGTTGAACTAAAATGTGAATCCAGGGGCTGGGGAGATGGCTCAGTAGAGTAAGCACAAGGGCCTGAGTTCAATCCCCAGTTCCGCCAAAAAAATAAATAAATAAAATGTGAATCCAATAAAAATGCACCACCTGCACAGCATGTACTGATAATGACAGTCTGACTTCCTTTCCCTTTCCCTGGAGGATCCCAGGAGATGGTCTTTGCTGGGAGTTCTGGTGGCCTCAGTTTTGATGCCTTTACTTTTTTAAGTCACAAATCAACTTTTTTTTTTTTTTGGTGGAACCGGAGATTGAACTTACCAGGCAAGTGCTTATTCTACTGAGCCATCTTCCCAGCCCACAAATCAATCAGCTTTGAATGTTTTAACTTAATAATTTTGTAAGCCCTAAATAGGAACAAGTTAACTTTGTGAAATCTATACATTAGCCTAACAGACTGGAAATACCGTAAGTCTCGGTATGGTAGAGCACGCCCATCACCCCAGCACTCCAGGGACTGAGGCAAGAGGCTTGGCGTGAGTTCATAGCCAGCCTGGACTACATAGTTTAAGGTCAGCTTGAACTACAGAGGGAGACTGTCTCAAAAAAAAAAAAAAAGATCTAGCCACGTGTTTTCGTGCACACTTGTAATCCCAGCACTCCAGAGGCTGAAGCA